CTGAGAATGAGTTCTCTACCTAGTTATGAGAAACAAGAAGAAAAAGCACCCTCCAAGTTCACGACAAAGATGAGGGCTCCTGTACCTCTGGGTAGAAGAAGAAATCCCCTGCCGGGTCCTGCACTCAACAGCTCAGAAGAGAGGCCCCTTTGACTTCTTGAGAAGGAAGCCCACTTCTCTGTCGACAAGAAGAAAACTCCTTTTTTGGCAGAGGTGCAAGCTCCCGAACATCTCCTCCTCCTATTCAAAACATGGAAGAGAGCTTACGATCAAGCTCCAAACTTCAAACCTTGACAAGGGAAGTCTGGTCTCCTTGCGGCCTTGAAAGGGACATGAGAAGCCCTCTACCTCATCCTCTGAGACAAGAATAGGGCTCACTCCAAGTTACGTTTGGTAAGAGAAGAGAGCTTCTTTCTAGAAGAGAGCTCCTTTACCTTTTGCAAAGTCTTCATCCTAATCTTAAGAAGACGGAAGAGAGCACGCTACTAGTAGATATTGACAGAGCTCCCTGCGTCTTCGAAACAACGTAAAAGTTCTGTGCCTTTTCTTCGACAACAAGAAAGCTTCCTCCAAGGTACTGAGAAAGAAGAGGGCCCTGTACCAAAATTAGCAGACAAGCCCCTCCAACTTCACGAGAAGAAGGCTCCGCTTATCCCTCAGTCGACAAGAAGAGACCTCCTTTCTTTTTTGGCAAGGGGAATAAGAGAGATCCTGACTGTCTCCTCTTCCTCTTCAGAAGATGGAAGAGAGCTTACGCTTAAGAGGAAAGGATGGCGCTCCCCATGCCTTCAACAGGAAGAATCTGGTCCCCGGGGGAGGGCTTAGGGTTTGAGAGTTGGGAGGTTCGCGTTTAGATAAGAGTAGGGCCACCAGGGTTCGTTGCACACAGAAAATTAAAGTTGTAAACATGAACCCTTACGATCAGGACTTCTCAAAATCATCAGCTGTATGAGTTGAGACAAGAGGTTCAGCATGACCAGTCGTAATCTTAGCCAGTGCAACAGTCGTAATACTAACATTAGTAGCAACATTAATATATGTGTAAGATAGCCCAGGTATTGAGGGTAATATGATTGCTATTATCAGATTTAGTGTCAGTAATCATAATCGAAATAGTTCTAGAAAACGTACAAGTAAACATTAATAATCCTAACTTGCTATTTGTAGTACTATTACCACTAGCATTAGCAGTTAAGTAATCATACTCATGTTGTATTAGCTCCAGTATTAATATTAACAATAGTATGCGTATTGATGTTAGTAAGAGTCGTAGTACTAGTATTAGTATTCGTATGAATATCTGTCATTATATTAAGAACAATATTCGTGTTAATGTTCGTGTTAGTGTTGACATTAGTCTCATACTATTATTAGTATAAGTGTTAGTGTTAGTTGTCGTTTTAAGCTAAATATCAGGATGAAACTGAATCAGAACAAGTATATGAGTAAGAGTATGAATATGAGTATGTACTGGGTATGAGATTCGTGATGATATGTGTATTTGTTGTAGCACTGGTGTTAGTGTTAGTATTCATATTGGTAGATTAACGTGAATATTGGTAACAATATTCGAGCGAGGGGTAGGTAGAGTAATACCAGCATTCGTATACATATCAGTATCCGCGTTAGTATTAATACGAGCTTAACCTTCGAGACAGTGTTAGTATTCAGATTAATGTTAGAATCAAACTAAAAACAACTACAAATATTAATCCAAACATTAGTGTGAGTGAGCATTAGAAGTAGTTATAGCAGCAATACAAACATTCAGGATAGAATTACTGTTAATCCTAGTATTTGTGCAAGTATTAGTAGCAATATTATAATGTCTTAAAAGTATATTATCAATACTACAAACAATAGTCATATTGGTATTCAACTTCGCATCAACATTCATCTTACTATTGTTATCAATGCTAGTGAAGTAGTAGTACTAATAGTCGTAGTGGTAATGGTAGGAGTAGTAGTGATGGTAGTAGTAGTGGTGGTGGTGGCGGTAGTGGTGCTAATAGTGACAATAGTGAAAGTAGTAATAGCAATAGTAACATTAGTCATCGTAGGGGCAGTAGTAGTAGTGGTAGTGGCAGTGGTTATGGTAGTGGCAGTGGTAGTGGTAGCGGCAGCGGTCGCGGTAATGGTAGTGGTAGTGGTAGTGGTAGACGTGGTCGTAGTGGTAGTGGTAGTGGTCATTGTAGCAGTTGTGGTAGTAGTAGAAGTAGTCGTACAAGTAGTAGTGGAAGTAGTAGTAGTCATAGTAAGATGAGGAGTAGCAGTAGCAATAACAGTAATGGTAATAATCATAGTAATAGCAGCAGTAGCAGTAGCAATTTTACTAATAGTAAAAGCAAGAGTAACAGTCATAGAAATGGTAATAGTAATAGCAGTAGTAATAGTAGTAGCAAAAGTAGTAAGAATAATGATAAAAGTAATGGTGACAGTAATAGTACTCGTACAAGTAGAGTACTGGTAGTAGAAACAATAATAGTAATCGTGATAGAGATAATAATCGTAAGAGTACTAGTAATAATACTAGTAGTAGTGATAGTAAGTGTAATATCGTAATAGCAATAGTAATAACCGCAACAGCAATAATAGTAGTAACAATATAATAACGGTAAGGGTCAGAATAAGAATAATAGTAATAATAACAGTAACAGTGATAGTCATAGTAAAAGTAATAGCAATGGTAGTAATAATACTAGCACTAGTAGTATAATATTCATAGTTAGAATAATAGTAGTAATAGTCATAATCATAGTAATAATCATATTATTAGTAATAGTAATAGTAATAGTAATAATAGTAGTAGTAGTAGTAATAATAGTAGTAGTAGTAGTAGCAATAGTAATAGTAATAGTAATAGTAATAGTAATAGTAATAGTAATAGTAATAGTAATAGTATTAGTAATAGTAATAGTACTAATAATAGTAATAGTAATAATAATAGTAATAGTAATAGTAATAGTAATAATACTAGTACTAGTACTAGTACTAGTACTAGTACTAGTACTAGTACTAGTACTAGTACTAATAGTAATAGTAAGTAGTAATTAGTAATAGTAGTAGTAATAGTATAGTCGTAATAGTAATAGTATAGTAATAGTAATAGTAATACTAATAATAGTAATAGTAATAGTAATAGTAATAGTAATAGTAATGTCATAGTACTAGTAATAGTAATAATAATACTAATAGTACTAGTAATGTAATAATAATATGTAATAGTAATAATTACTATAGTCCTAGTACTAGTATAGTACTAGTACTAGTACTAGTACTAGTACTAGTACTAGTACTAGTACTAGTAATAGTAATAGTAATAGTAATAGTAATAGTAATAGTAATAGTGATAGTGATAGTAATAGTAATAATAATAGTGATAGTGATAGTGATAGTGATAGTAATAGTAATAGTAACAATAATAATGATAGGAGTAGTAATAGTAATTGTAAGAGTAACAGTACTAGTAATAATAATGGTAAGAACAAAAAACGAAAAAAATCAAAAAAAATCCTGGATCCCCGGGTCCCTGGGAGGCGATGCCTGGCCGTTGCGCCCATCCCCTAAAGGTCTCCGGCCTGGAGCGCTTGATCCTCCCTGTGGGAGCACCCTGGATTTTTTTGATTTTTTTGATTTTTTTCATTTTTTGAGTTTTTTGAAAAAGGCAAAAAAATCAAAAAACTCACAAAAACTTTTTTCATTTTTTTGAATTTTTCAAAAATGCACAAAAAACAAAAAAATCAAAAAACTCAAAACAACTTTTCCATTTTTTTAGTTTTTTCAAAAAGGCAAAAAAATAAAAAAACTCAAAAATACTAAAAAAATCAAAAAAATCCTGGATCACCGGGTCCCTGGGAGGCGATGCCTGGCCGTTGCGCCCCTCCCCTGAGGGTCTCCGGCCTGGAGCGCTTGATCCTCCCTGTGGGAGCACCCTGGATTTTTTTGATTTTTTTGATTTTTTTCATTTTTTGAGTTTTTTGAAAAAGGCAAAAAAATCAAAAAACTCACAAAAACTTTTTTTTTTTTTTGAATTTTTCAAAAATGCACAAAAAACAAAAAAATCAAAAAACTCAAAACAACTTTTCCATTTTTTTAGTTTTTTCAAAAAGGCAAAAAAATAAAAAAACTCAAAAATACTAAAAAAATCAAAAAAATCCTGGATCACCGGGTCCCTGGGAGGCGATGCCTGGCCGTTGCGCCCCTCCCCTGAGGGTCTCCGGCCTGGAGCGCTTGATCCTCCCTGTGGGAGCACCCTGGATTTTTTTGATTTTTTTTCATTTTTTGAATTTTTTGAAAAAGGCAAAAAAATCAAAAAACTAAAAAGAGCTTTTTTCATTTTTTTGAATTTTTTCAAAGGCAAAAAAATCAAAAAAAAATCAAAAAACTCAAAAAAACGAAAAAAATCCTGGATCCCCGGGTCTCTGGGACAAGACCGACCAGGTCTATTTGGAAGATGCCTTCTCCTTTTCATAATTACATGTAAGTGTACATTCCCCTTATTAAAGACATAAGAAAGAGCTTCCAAATAGACCCGGTTTTGCTCACACACGGGGGGGGGGAGTCTTAACCTTTAGAATGGGTTCGTGGAAGGGGTTTAGGGGTTTAGGGTTGAGGGCTCAGGGTTTAAGGTTTAGGTTTGGGCGTTTAGGGTTTAAGGATCCTTGAAATTAAATGGCCTCTACAAGGGATCTATATATATTCTAGGGGCCTTGAGATTTAGACTGTTTTTGCCGTACGTTATAGGAAGCTTCTTGCAAGGAACCCCTACACCCAAAACCCGCAGGAACAATATCAGTATCTACTCAGGCTTCTATGTTACCGACAGGGGACACGATACACCTTATGTCAACCAAAAACACCCGAAGCAAAAATTGGGATGGCGTCTATATTCAAAGCAAACATTCCTAACCAAAAAAGCCTAGTTAAGTCAGATACAAGCAAGGGCAAAGATTCCAGAATTGAGGGGTTACGGGCTTCCCTGCCGGCCACCCCCATTCCACCTGCGTGGATCGCATACACTTTCTCACGGCGTCGCGCGGAGGAACCTCGCGAAAGACTGTCCGCTGACTCGGTCGGGGTTCGATCGTCGAACAACTTACCTTTGGTTAGTAGGGAATGGAAGAATTGTAGTATTAGTAGTGTTAATTGTACCCCATTCCTCCATTCCCTACTAACCAAAGGTAAGACACGTGTAGAAAAGCCTTCCGTAAATCCTCATAGCGCCAAGGCGGTGCTGTCTGCACATGAACCTCAGGGAACTTGCCTGTGCGGTAAGGCTTTTCAGAATCCCGGAAGGCCATCCCATGTAAACCTACCGGCACCATGCCGTCTAACAGGTAAACATCCTGGCCTGGAAGAAGCTCCGCACGGTATTTCGAGCGTCCAGGCGACGGCCCTTTCCAACGTCGGCTTCGGATGCTTGTGGGTAGGTTTAGGGTTTAGGGTGGTATCCTATGGATTGAGTTCATGGCTGTTGCACATTGTCAGGCCTGCCAGCCACTAGCGTATTGACGGAATATATCTATCTCATGTCCGTACTTGAAACATATAGCTACATATGCCATATGTGTACGACAGCGAGTAGACGGGAGGTAAGCTTCAAGTTAAATATGGCTCATGCAAAGCTCCGAAGCACAACAGCCTCTTGGTTTTGATGATTGCGGCTACCGAAAGAGTGACACGGGAACTGCCATGAACAATGATGTCATGCTACGTAGAACAGAGAAGTCACACAGGAGCTTTATCATCACCACATCAGTCACTACCATGCCTTTGCTCACAAGGCTAGACGTGATGATGGTGACCATCCAACACCACCAACGCCAACATCAGAATGGACCGGATTTGAATAGCAGAGCTGTCTAACATGAGAGGCCTAATAAATCACCTACTATACTATTTTGAAGGTTCCTTATTGCAAGGATGGTATAATGGGCCGAGACTTGCAGCAGGAAAGGCTCGGCCTTCCTCTAGACACAGCCTTTCGGACCCAACAGACAGGTAGGTCATGGTAGTTGAAACTGGTCCCTGCAGGACACGCAATCAATATAGCTGCCTGCATGAGCACTTCGTCGCGGATCTCCTCTACCCACAGGCGAGGTTCAAGAGGGAATCCCGTTCAGAGCCCCCAACCCTCACTTCTCCAATAAGCAGCGGAAAGAGAAGGTCAATTAAACCTTCAGACTAGTTAACCTTTCAAAATACCACACAACTATAAGAAGCTCAAACCCCTAGAAAACTAGAAGAATCAAACACCTTACAAAATATTGGGTGTTGGAGAGCTAAGAAACCCCAAAACAGGGAAGACTTAGGCTATACCACCCTTAGAACCATAATTAAAAAAACATATATTGTTGATAAACTCTTGGGCCTTATCTGAACGAAAATAAAAATAATTCTAGTTGGCAGCTTCAATGTTTAAGTGTCAGCTTCACGTCAGAGCAAGAGCGATGTGAGCCTTCCCTAAACACCCATATGGGTGGCTGTCAAGATTGAGGTCCCGTTTTGGGTACCCTAAATATTAGGTGCCGTATTTATTACGGACCCAAAAAGGTGCCATCATCTTGACAACTACCCATATGGGAGTTTCAGAAAACAGGGGACCCTAATATAGAAACCCCAAATAGTAGGCTCCTTATTATAAGGACCCCAAAATAAGGTACCCCTAATTTTCGGAAACTCCCATGTAGGGGCCTTAATGATTAGAATAAGGTTTGGGGTATACTATATGGTATTCGATAAAAAAAGGAACCCCCAAAAAGTTGTGTTGGTCATTATTTAGGCCCCTATAGTACTAAACCTGGTAACCCTTGCAAAAAAAAAAAATCAGCGGTTTCTCATGGCTTCAAATATAGTGACCAAGTGACCAAGTATGTGAAACCAAAAAACATCCGAGTAACCCCATGGCTATCTCTCGGGTAGATTGAAGCACCTTCCCGAAATCTCGAAATATGACACTGCCCAGAGCCCGAATTCCTGAAATGACAACGACACTGGGCCCTACAACCCTTTTGTACGAGTGATGTTCCGGGCTATAAGGCCTACTATAGGGGTCTCGGGGGGCTTTGGGGATTATATTGTTGTTTCTAGTCAGGAACCCCCAAAAATGTTCTAGGTAATTATTAAGGCCCCCTCTAGTATATTTCAGGTTCAACCAATCAGGTGTCACGGCCTTGCGGTTTGGGCAATACAGGCTTGACGGTGGAGCACCCTGAAGCTGCGGGGCTAATGCCGTGCTCGGTACTTATTCGAAACTCCCCTACCTTAGGAACCCTTACAGTGCCCTTGTAGTAACCCTTTAATTTAAAGGAACCCTAAGAATCCTAAGGTCCCAACCCCCCAATTTCGACAACTCCCAAAGGGCCCAGGTTGATGGCTGGGACAACACGGGGAAGTCCTGAGTCTCTGCTTCGACCTCCTCGCGGGGCAGTTGGGATGTCCGGCATGATAGGGTTTAGGGTTTAGGGGTTCAGTGTTTAGGGTTTAGGGGTTTACACTCTCGCAACTGAGGCACGGGTTTAGTGGTTCAGGGTTTAGGGGCCTTGAAGTACCTTCCTAAATGAACATTCCCTATATAAACGCTGAATCCAAAGCCGGATATCCTATCACCGTAAAGCCCTTGAGGCCCCAAAAACCATGCACTCAGGATCCTGACCACTTGGGCTGAGGGGATATCTCCAAAGAGAGTATACTGTAGGAGATCGGATTAAGGGGGTATATAGACCCTCCCGTTTAAGAGAGCCAGAAGTAAAGCTAAAAGACGGGTCCCCTTTAAAGGGTCTCCCTCTAGCATCTACTGCCCTTCCTACTTGGGAGGACGCGCGTGCTGTGGGACTGCGGAGAGTAGGTTGATGACAAGAAATCGGTGACTTTAGGCAAATGTTGGGTTGATGCGGTGTGGTGTCTTGCCTTGCAAAGTAGGTTGAGAACTGAACATCCGAAAGATAAAGGTGACCTTGCAACCATGGCGCAGGACGGGCTGACCCGGCGACTGCACATCCGAAAACCCGACACAACGTTGTCAAGCAAAGTCGCCGCCATGAGTGACTAGGCCGGAACCACATTACTAAATAGCTATGCTTGGAGTGTCTTGGGCTGGCGAGTTCTGAAGGGGTAGAAAACCACGGAAGCAGGTACAAGAATGGCGTCTTGACACTGCAATAGTTAAGAAAAATACAGACTTTATGCATAATGAATTTAGTCGGTATAAGGTTCCAAGCTGCACGGCAAACAGTATTAGAGGGGCCTAAATGATTACCAACAATATTCCTTGTGGTTCTTGTCATAGTTACTTGGGCTTCCTTTTGTATAACTGCATTATAGTCATACGACCAAAAAGCCCAACACCCTTTTCCGATTCTTGTTAGTAAGGTCCCTACATTACCCCGACTTCTCCGAAGGGTGCTAATTGACCCGCAAACTCCATCGTGCAGCTGGTGTTGAGGACCATAAACTATCGGTTGGCCCCCATACAATAACAGTCTATGATAAGGCTACTATGAAGGGCCTGATATCTCCACATCATAAAGATTATTCAGCTGCTACTGGGTGGGGGCAGTACCCAAACTACAGGGCTGCGATTCGGGAGTTTCCGAAAACAGGGGACCCTAATATAGCACCCTAAATAGTAGGATCCTTCTTGTAGGGACCCCCAAATAGGGTACCCCTAAGTAATTTTCGGAAACTCCCATTTGGAGTTCAAACCCTCTCCCTACATCCCAAGGCCCTACACCACGGCACGCTGCGGCACTGCAGCCGTTATCTGCCAAACCCCCAAACCCTGAGATTCCTACACCAGCCAAACCCATCAAAATATCATCATGGAGCCCGGATAATCCGGAACACCGTTCTTTCGGGTTTTCAATGCAGTCCGAAACCGTGTTTGACACATTAATTAAGGCGTCCACATTGAACCCTAAAAGCCCCTTCATAAAACTATAAGAACCCCGACCCTCGAATTCTTAAGGCCCCATACTTTGTCTCCTGTTTTTGAACGGGGCTGGAAGGGGGGGTGTCCTCGCACTTGGCTTCGAGCTGCGCCTCCAGCTTCGCCTCCTCATCCAGCAATGCCTCATTTTTCCGACGATTCGAGATGGGGAGGACCGTCGGGGGTATCATGTATTTCCTCTGTATTCTCATGCACCATTTTTTATCCCTCATCAGTTTAACGTATGTCACGATCACATTAGGTGTTTGAGGGTTTGGAGTGTTTCAGGGCAGGGAAATCAGCACAACCTGCAACTTCTACGTACGTGTTGTGTAAGGGCTTGAATAAGGTTCTGCAAAGGCTTGTTAAGAACTATTTAACGTTCTCATACGGGTCGAATATGGAGGGCCTTTACCGTTTTTGCGAGTTTTCCAGTGGTTTGAAGGAGGCAATGCACAGATCCTTTGAACTTCAATAGGCTCTTGTCGTGTATTGGCGTGTATCATGGAACTCTTTTATAGGCAGCAGTGTGAACGGAGGCATCTTTGTGCAACTAAACGGTAAATATTCGAACTTCTGTATTCCCAGTTTTGGATTTCTCTCGAATCTGAATCGTTGACAAAAGATCTTTCATGCCACCCACCTTGAATGTTCCAGGCTCTCAGGTTTAGCATTTATGGGTTGTTAGCGGGTTTGTACTCTCTCATAGGGCTGCATCTCGGTCTGGGGTGTATTATATAAAAAACAGCGGGCAACAACACCTTCAAACGCAAAATTCAAAGTGTCCGCTCGAAGCGTGAAGTTCGCAGCTTCTCGCAGGCATGGAAGTGACGCGGTGTGCGGATTCCTGAAGGATGCGAATCCGAATTACTCGGTCCCACGATGGTCGACCTGAGACCATGAAATGTGAAAAAAAAACTCAGAGACAGAAACCGAAACCGAGTTCGGATCTTGAGTACCAGAGTGCGGATACAAGGCGGTTCGATTCTGAGGCGGAATGGGCTAGCGAGTCGTGGTGCAAGCTGTTGGTGTCGCCGAAATCCCAAAGCCTAGTCCTGTGGCAGGATGAAATAATGGACGGTTTCTTGGTTCATGTCTCCACAGCAAAATCTGCTGCGTGGAGTCCTCAACGCTGTGCAGTAGTTCGCTTGTAAATGTGGCTGGTGTCATATATACTATTAAGGAGCTACACAACCTTCAAGAGTTTGAACAGTTCCCGACTTCGCCCGGCTTGAGAAACTAATCCGTGCCGACGAGAGCGATTTCATGAATTTCGCGTGTGGAGCTTATTGAGTCGTCTGTATGGCGGCAGCTGCACAAGTGAGTAAGGGACCTTGATGTCAAAATGCGCTACCACCAGACGCAATTCCCACTGTAGACCTAATGCACGTCAACTTCGTATCGTCTGACTCGCAGCCACGGAGATTTCACAACTTGGGTCTGGAGACTTTGGTGTGGCTGCGGGAATCAAGCCGAACCTCTAGGCGCATTTGGGCATTCCGGCTGGCCATACACCCTTAGCCACCAGCTCTTGTGTGCTGGAACTCGGCATGAGCTATGATTATGGGCTTATAGGGTTCCTATTCAATGTAGCAGTGTAGCTCCCGCGGTTGCCATCCCCAGAAGAGCCTCCGAAGAAGAGAGAAGCATGCTGCGCGTCGAAACGTGTTGATTGGAAAAAGGAACCAAGAAGTCGTGGAAGGAGAGGTCAAAACCTCTAGCCTCAAGCAACCCGAATCCCAGAACTCACAGGCCGAAACTGCTAAACCCTGCATGCATGTGGCTGTGGACATACCAGACCATGCGGGAAACACTTAAGTCAATGTGGTAACCAGTTTTGGCCGAGCGGACCGTGCAATGAAAGCTCCAAAAAGCACGGAAAAGCCACTGAATCTTCTAAGCACGCTTGCCTCAAGCCGAAACTAACTCTGAACCGATCTGAACTCTAAACGGGGCAGAACCCTCAAACCTGAACACCTACATCCCATAGTTCAATTGGGTTTAGGGGAACTTTCGCCCGGTCACTCCTGAATCCTAGACCTCAGGCCTTCCACCCTAGACTAGACCTTGGGTACGGCCCCCATACAGTAAGAGTCTATAATAGGGCTACTGTTAAGGGCCTATTATATCTACATTATGAATATTATCCAACTGTTACTAAGTGGGGGCCGTACCCAAACTAGACCCTTCAAACTAAAACCGTGAGCCCTAAATCATAAATCCCTACCAGAACCTTAAAGAATCGACCTTTTTTGGGACTTGTATAAGGTAAACCATCATAAACCATCATACAGCAGCCGAGTAGATGGGTTCCTCATGAGTCCGGTAAACCCTTGCAGCCTTATATAGGGGCCGTATTAGACCCCCCAAAATAGCATAGGTAAATATTTAAATGTAGGCCCCTGTACTAACTGCAAATTGGCAGTCGCTCGAAAGCAGTTTTATCCTCGAAAACAGCTGGAGGGGCCTTCATAGCTAAAAAAAGGGTCTAGGGTTTGGGGTGCACGATACTCAAGCTATAATAGTACGGAGCCCCAAGGAAAAAAACAACAACAAACTATGCAGGCTTCTATACTAAAGTCTGGGGTTTCTGGCTGCTTTAGGGCCATATAAGGGTATTCCACTGGCCTTACTTCATCCAGTCGGTCAGCAATGGCTAATCATTTTTTGAAATCAACCCAAAAAAACAATCATAACAGAGAAAGTTCGACTTCACAAAACACAAAAACAGCTTGAAACCTTGCAGTTAGGGCCACTTACATAGGGCCAGTAAGCACAAGACATGTTCGGTCTTTGGGCGGGATAGGGTGCTGCAGGGAATACACACTGTTTGAGGGTCCATGGTAGAGGAGTCAGAAATGCAAACGAAGCGTGCGCAGCACCTGCAATGCTAAAGAAGCTGCTGTCACAAATCTGGATGCGAAGTCCAACTATCACCTCCAAGAAGGCTACTATCGAATATCAGAACGCTTGTGTTCGTTGTGCCAATACCTTTATATTCACTATTGGCTTTCTAGTCGGATATTGCTTTACAACTATTTTCTGATTGTTTTTCTTATTGTCCTACTGTGCCTTGTTTCTATTGATGAAAAATTGGTCGCAATATCACGACTAACTTTTCATTTTTCCACAAGCTAGGCACTACGTAAGCCGTAGTAGGAAACAGCACTTGTATGGGCAGGAGCAGTTTAGCAAATAAGTGCCACCACACCCACTTCACCGCACCTTACACCCTTGGTGTGGAAGAACCTACACACACGCACACCCTGAACTGCTTTTTTGAGCAGGGACTGCAATGAACCCCTATGTTCCTAACTATACTGAACTTAGAACCCTAGCAAAAATCATAAATTTAGCTGTTTCTTAGGGACTATAATAACCAAAAATTAAAAAATATTTCTAAGTACCCCTAAGCTAACCCCTAAACCCCAGAACCGTAAGTTTGCTCCGGCTGAGCCAGGCCTGGCGCTTCTCAATGGCCTTGGCATTCTCCTTGGTGACCTCTTGCAGCCTCCGATTGGGTTGGGCGATGAAACATGGTGTGGGTGTTAGGGCTAGGGGTTTAGGGTTTAGTGGTCTGCGGGCTTAGGGCTTATGGAGCCCTCATTGCGGAATGATGTGGGAGATTGGACGTCGAGAGGGGGCTTTGGGGTTTGGAGTGTTCTGAATGGCCGTGAAAGGTTGGGCCAGTGTCTTGTGATTCGTAATAGCGGCTTGGAGGAGGTTTTGGTGAGTCTCTTGGAGCCTAACATATAGGGGCCTTAATAATTGAATAGGGGCTGGGGGCGCCGTATATACTGTACTTAGGGGCCTTAATAATTAGAATAGGGGCTGGGGGCCCATTTTCTCCGTACTTATTAATAAGGAACCCCCAAAACAGTATTGGTAGTTATTTAGGCCCTATAGTTGGACATTTACGACTTAAACTCTCGGGACTCGAACGATGCTGGCGAGGTTTGTCCAGGTTCGAAGGGTTTAGGTTTTAGAGACTTGTAGGGTTGGGGCTGTAGGATTTTATGATTTAAGTTTGAGAAAGTCAAGGCTTTAGGGAGCACAAACCCCAAAATGCAGTAGCTAAGCCGGCCCCACCATCAGCAGGCGTTACGGTTTAGAAGGGTGGAAGGTTTAGGTTTTAGCCACATTCTTACAACGTTTGAACGAAGTTCTGCACAACGCGCCACGGGTGATTGCAATTCCGTCTCGGTGGTCCTACTTGGAGGTTCATGGGTAGTTATAAGAAGGGTTAGAAGTAAGGTAACTATACTTATAACCCATATTAGGGGACTTATAAAGCCACTTATAACTACCCATGAACCTCCAGGTACTGCATAGAGACTCGAAACAAGTGCCCAACCCAGAACGGGGGAGAATTCTCACAATGGGGTCATGCACAGGAACGTACGAGCTGCCAAGGTTGGAGATTTCTGGTGCCCTACACAACAGTGAAAGTCTTAAACCACTGCGTTAAAGCCAAGGCCCCTAAAATTCCTGAACCCTACATCGCTCTGCACTTCCTTATCGCTCTACACTTCCTTCGGGCTCCTAACCAAAATCTTACAACACGATTCCCCCAAATTCATCAAAACCCTATTCTGATTATTATGCCGCCTGGGGTTCTTGACAGGCATCAGGTCTACCCTGACCCCAAAAGCGCTCGAGTGAAACGGTGGCCTCAGCAACAGCTCGGACCTCATGAATCGCTGGTTGGCAAGCTTTGCCTCCAATCAAAGGGGAAAAGGAGGGACCCTTAATAAGGACCCCTAGGTAATATACCCTTAATACAGCTATAATATACCCATTATATAGCCCATTATAGGCTAAGGGTCCCCTTTAAGGGTTCCTCCTTTTCCCCTTTGCCTCCAAGGTGTGCTGTACCACACTTGGGGTCGAAGGCTCTAGGGTTCAGGGTGTATGGGAGTTTCCGAAAATACGGGACCCTATGCAATATGGTACCCTAAGTAGTAGGATCTTTATTACAAGGACCCGACATTGAGGTACACCTAATGTCGGAAACCCACATCTAGCATTTAGGGTGTAGGGTTTTGGGGCGTTTTGGGTTTAGGCTTTCGGCCCAACCACATGAGGCTCTTGCCTCGTAGCATGCGCGTGTGACTCCTCAGGAATGATGTTCATATAGTGGAATAATATAGGCTGCCAAACCCAATGTGCCCTAAAGATCCCGAAAGCCGGGGCCCAACTGGCCAACAGCTGCAGCCTGGAGGCTTTGACGGGAAGCTCATCGGAATAAGAAGATGCGAAATTATAGTAAACTTATACATCCCTATAGTAACCCTTATATAGACCCCTTTAAAGGAAGCCTAGTAGAATGAAAAGTCCAGAACCATGGTAGGGTTCGAGTATACAAGGCCTGGACAGCATCCTCTGGTCTTCGCAGCTTTTGTGACTGAATACTTGAAGGCTCATGGGACTTAGTAAGTAAGGTTATAAGTAGGTTACAATTAGGATAACCCCACTTAGGGGACTTATAACCCCAATTATAACCTACTTACTAAGTCCCATGATCCTCTAAGTACCCCAAACAAGGTTAACCTTGGGTACGGCCCCCACTCAGCAATAGTTGAGCTAATATTCATAATAGAGATATAGTAGGACCTTAATAGTAGCCCTATTATAGACTCTTACTGTATGGGGGCCGTACCTAAGGTTAACCTTTTCAATTATGGTAGGACTACATTTTGCATCCAGGCCTGTTGCGATTGCCGGGGACCCTACATAAACCCCAAAAGGTTAAAGGCTACCTACTCAGCTGCTAGGTTGAGCATCTCCAGTTGACCGGTGTTGGACTGCGATGGATCGGAGAAAACACTGCATGCTCCATAATATCTTAGTGTCTGAAGAAACTCGGTGTGCCGCAGCACAGGTCAAGTGCTGAACACAGTTGTTGCTGGGGCCTCTACACAAGATGGCGCCAATGGGAGTTTCCGAAAACAGGGGGCCCTAATATAGTGCCCTAAATAGTAGGATCCTTCTTATAAGGACCCCCAAAATAAGGTACCCTAATTTTCGGAAATTCCCAAATCTGAACCCTAAGTCCTAAACCCCAGGTCCTCACCTTTCAAGTCTCGCAAACTTTTTTGCACCGCGCTGGTTGTCGAGACTTCTCCCCCTTATCGGGATGTTCCGGCTCGAGACCTCTACTTAACATAGGGGCCCTTGAGAGTTAGACCAGGGTTTGTGTAAAGGGTTTCTTTTAAAGGGTGCCATAAGTGGTTTCTATACACGATTAGGGATTCCGGGGCCGTGTCAATTAGAAGATTGGTTTGGGGGCACAGCCCATACACTTTCAATAGAAAAAGCGTACCCTGCGATACAGAAGGTCTAATATGGCTGTTTTTTTGGAATGTCTGGTGATTGGCCTCATGAGTTGAAAAGACGGCACGATAGAATATCGGGGGCATAACACTTAGAGTTGGGTGTTGGGGTAAGTTCGATAACTAGCAAGAGACACCAAACTACTACTGGTAACTAGGTATGATAACTATGACAAGGCATCCTTGAACTAGTATGGGTACATATATTCTGGACACGATATTTACTCCCAGACCCTTCGAAGCCCAAACCTTCAGTTATAGTAGGACCCCTAATCTGACTTATTTTTGATTAAGGGATATTGGAGTCTCTGGTTTAGCTGTGTCTTAGCCCCCGAAAAGCAGCACCGCTTCAATCAGAAATCGTTCGGGGCTTTTTTGATGCTCAGGTAGTGTTTAGGCTTAGGGGTGTGCGGACGGTTCTGCTTTTTCTACGTACTTCCGAGCTGAGCCAAGGAAATAAGAGCTTAACCTGTCAGCTTACTGCAAGACTATGAGAGCCCAGAAAGTTTCAAGGTTGGCTATTGGAGTGCCAAAGCTTCATATCGGAGCTTCACAGCTAACTGTAAACTTGCGGCCGCCTATGCTCCAATGGTACTAAAGAACCAAAAGGAGGAGCCCTACCGATTTTCCTAAACCTTTGTAAAGCACTATAGCCACAAACAACTTCATAAATTCACGTAAGGAGACTTCTATATTCAGGCACCTGCGTTTTGCCACAGTGCTTAGAAGGAGCCTCATGGACCACTATAGTACGTGTTATCCAGGTCCCTACGTTACTGTAGAACCCTGGTTAACAAACGCGCCCACTTTCAAACCCTAAACCCCTAAACCCTGCCCTAAACCCTACACTCCTAACCCCTACCCTCAAACCGATTGGACTATAGTTGCCAGGGCTCCAGAGTCTAAGGCTCACGAAGAGAGTAAGCGGTATTGTTTCTTCATGATTTTCCGCCCTCCGCAAGAAAAGGCAAAATCGTTAAGCATCCCTTGGGCTTTTTCGAGAAAGAAAGTGAAGCATAACTCTTCGGGCTTAGGTTAGGGTTTAGGGTTTTGCGAACAGACATTTCTGGCCGCTATGATGGGGATCCTGAACTAAGCTCTAAAACCATAAAGCCCAAAAGCCTATCTTCGAGTGGGCTTGTCATTCAACCTCCTTTCTGATACGATTCTCCTAACAAGCCTTAGAAGCCTTAGTACTAGCTGCCTTTTGCCTTACAAGGGATTCGCTACTCAGGCCCCCCAGATTATACCGTACAAGTAAGAAGCCTTGCCCAATGTTACACTGTAAACGCAAGGAGCCTCACCCTCTCTATGTTTTAGGGTTTAGGGTTTAGGGTTTAGGGTTACCCTAAAACTAGCGAGCCGAGCCCTGCCCTGAATTAGGCGATGAAAAAGTTTAGGGTCTAGGGCTTAGCGACGAAAGGGAAGTACATGAAACTGTTAGTTAGACTAGCCCACAATAGAGCTTATAAACCTTCTGGATCCTAAAACTTTTCTTGTTTGCGTCAGGACTTGTGCAATCGCCTAAGCCTTAAACCCTAAACCCTAACAAGAAGCCTTACGGCACCCGTAGTACGAGTTGCTCTGGCCCCTTCCTTCTTGCGCAGAGAGCCCAATACCCCTTAATCAAGGAATATAGCTTGAATCATAATATGAGGCACCTAATGATTTAAGGTATATCCTTAATTAAGGGGTATTAGAACCCCTTAAACCCTAAACCCTATAGAACCCTTAAAGGAACCCTAGGTATATTCCGTAACCCTAAACCCTAAACCCCGTAGATCCCTTAAAGGAACCCTAGGCCCTAGCTATTCCTAAACCCTATAGATCCCTTATGGGCACCCTTGTAGGAACCCTTAAAGGAACCCCTGTTAGTCCCCTTTATTCCTTAGTTAAGGGGTACTGGGCTCTCTGGGTGCGCCTTCTTCGACTCAGACTTCCACACCCAGCGCCGCCATGGCACTGGGGAGGAAGAAGGCAACTCTCCTAGGCTGCAGCTTTCTAAAGGGTTTAGGGTTTAGGGGTTTAGGGGTTTAGGGTTTAAGGTATGTTAAGGTTTACCTTAGCCCTGAATAACCTACCTTTTTGGGGTTCCTTCTTAGGGTAGGAAGAAGGCTACTCTCCTAGGCTGCAGCTCAACTATACTGAACTTAGAACCTTAGCAAAAATTATTATTGTAGCTGTCTCTTAGGGATTATACAAACCTACTCTCCTAGGCTGCAGCTCAAAGGATGTTAAGGTTTACCTTAACCCTGAATAACCTACCTCTTTAGGGTTCCTTATTATGATTTCCTTGTATACGTCCTTACAAAGCTAGACGGCAGCTTACCTATAGGCTGTATTTTAAGGTTTGGGGCCTTTCGGGCCAAGGGGCTTGCGGCCGTATAGTCCAGAGCTGGAGGCGTTGCGAGTTTCGGTTGAGCTTTTTGGGGTTTATGTCCGGATAAGACCGGTTCATGATTACGTGCATCTACAAGCCCAAAAGTGAAACATATCCCAAACTGCCGCCTAGTCTCTGCATCACGCCGTCTTTTCGAGCATCGTATGGAGTATCCTTGGAAGGAATCTCCAAGACGGTGGGCACCATCTGCGCGCTGCTTGCAAACTCGTCTACTGCTCGTCGGATCAGCTCAGCACTGTCCTGGGATGTAGCTGTGGACCCCTGAAATTATTTATGACAGGGCACTTCTATAGGACCACACAGAAAATTTTCACCTTTCCCAAAGTGCCACCTGATGTCTTGGGTGATCAGGATCATAGATATGTCCTTTCTCATCGTCAGGTCGTTGAAATGGTCTTCTATGTCCTTGATGTGCACCTTCGAATCTACGACGAGGAAGTTCTTCTTGCCCTGTCCGTCTACGTGACCTATGCCAGCCAGGAGCATACCAGTGACAGTATCTTCGTCCCCAATGAGGCCGATCTTCATGTCATTCTGGGTCACCACCTTTGTCTTCACCATGCTTGCACGGCTCCAAAGTCAAAACCTTCCCGAGCAAAAAAAGGACACGCTTCCGGCTTGAGCCAAACTACCACAAGGGTCTACTAAACATTTAGCAATGATATCCCGGCATTAGTATAGTTGCGAGAATAAGCCCCTAAACCTGCATGCCAACTAGGCTTAAGCCCCGTGTATTCTCTGTTTCCGGCCACGATTGTCTTGCTCTCCGGCCTTGGCAAGCGTTAGTACACGCATATATATATATATATATATATATACACTCTGGTACCGTACGCGCCTAAAATAACTACATGAACACTGACGAATTAAAGCCCAGCTGTGCCAAAAGGCCAATCAAAGCCTTAGCTTGCCAAGCCCGGAAGCCTCAATTGCGGATTCATAAAACGGGGATGTGTTGATCCAGATTTCTTGACAAATCCTGGCTGCCCTGGCTTGCTTGAAGCCCTTGCTGCATGCATTCTGGGCATGGTTCAGCACCTCGGACCCCTGTGACGAAACGTCTTGCAGCCTGGTAAGGACCCTCAAATCCAAACCCAAGCCCTCGACCCTGTACTGATAAACTCTAACCCTTGTATAGCTCAAAACGGCCGAAAAGCCCCTAAACAAACATCGCTCGAAGGGCTCCGCCAAGGTGGCATGACCCACAATTAAGAGCCCGTATAAATAAAGAATATAAACAGAAATGTAAATACATAAGTAATCCTTCATCCTACATACCTTCATCCAACCTTTAAAAGCCCCGCGAGCGCCGCCCCGAGCGCCTCGGCGGCGTTGCGCGCCTTCTGTGCCGCAGCACGGAGCCGACTAGCCTGGAAAGGCGGGACGCCCACTGAGCTTTCGGGTTCAGGGTTCTAGAATCTATAGGGTTTAAGGGTTTATAGGGTTTAGGGTTTGGGGTTTAGGGAATAGGGTCGAATAGGGTTTACCTTCACCCCAAAGAACCTACCCTCTAAGGACATGTATAAGAAAGCCCCAAGAAGGAACCCTACAAAGGCACGTTCCATCGAGTTTGGGTGGGATTTGGGGTTTAGGTGTTGGGAGTTTCGGAGACTTTGGTGTAGGAGTTTAAAGTTTCGGGTTTCGAAGCTCACACTCGCACACAGCAGGCAAGGCTCGGGTTTCGGGTCTAGGGTTCGGAGGTTCAGAGGCTATCACTTTGTGTTTGTTAGTTTGCGTTGCATTGGGAAGTCCATGTGTTTGCTTCTGCTTGGCAAAGATTAGGGTTTGGAGTTCGGGGTCTAGTCTAGCTTCGAAAGCCTTTTGTACATCTTGCACGGTTTCGGGGGAGGGTTCGGGGTTTGGGGTTTCCAATTTCCAGCTTCGGGGTGTCGGATTTAGATATTCAGGATTTAGTGTCCGTTTAATGATGTATGAGCATTTCACAGATGACAGGAAGTTCAAGTAATATAAAGTAAGCACCGAAGGCACGCAGTTTCAACCAATGGTGTATGGTGAAGTGCAGCGTACTTCGTACATGAACCCCTTGACTGACAAGGAATATGGCTGAAGTTCAACGCCCAAGCTCGCGCTGTAAACTGCAGAGTTCATCGGATGACGGTCTCTGGGTGGAGAATTTTGTTTTGCCCTTTTTTTTTTTTTTTTTTGGCCCTTTTTTTTTTTTCCCTGCCCTGGGCTCCTGGGTTCTCTGTATTTGCACAGGAAAAACAGCTCTTCTCTCGGGATTTTCTGTATTTCCACAGGAATCTCCAAGGGAAAACACTGCTTTCCTATGGATTTCTTTCGTTTCCTAAGGATTTGCTTGGTTTTTTCTGGGGAAAACACGATTTTCCTACGGATTCCGTTGTATTTCTCTAAGTTTTCTTTGGTTTTTCCTAGGAAAAAAACTTATTTTCCTATTACCTACGGCGTTCGTGGCATTTCTTCAGGTTTTCCGAAGGAAAACATACGTTACCTAGCTTATTCCTCGGGAAAATCAAATTTTTCCTACAATTTCGCATTTAGGACGGATTTCGTGGTGTAGTTGTTGCTAGTAGTGTTGTTGTTGTTGGCGTTGTGGTTGTAGGTGTAGTATGTTGTAGTTTTAGTTCTAGTTGTAGGGATAAAAAACCCGAGGGTCAAACAAAAATCAAAGAAGGATCAAAAAATGAAAATACGGCAATTGCAGCCATTCAGCGTGATTGTTCTGTCTTTCTTACTGTGTTGTTCTTATTCCCTTGTGTTTTTTTGGGTTTGCGTTCTGTATTTCGTTCGATCATTCCTTGTCTGTCTTTCTGTGGTTGGTTCTTTCCGTTTATCTTTCTATTTTTCGATTTGTTCGTGATTTATTTCTTCCTGTCTTCCTTCCCTTGGCTAGTAGTGTTGTTGTTGGTGGCGTCACTGCAAAGTCCTTGCTGGTTTACCCAAATTTATAAGTATCATAGGATCCAAGCATCAAAACAAGTTAAGCAAGAAAAAGAACGACATCCGAAACTATGGATCAGATCTCGAACAAACGTAAGCACAAACGATAAACCACTGCCAAATTTAATGGGGTTTTAGGCTTCAGGGTTTTTGGGTTTAGGGTTTAAGGTCATTGCACTCTGACTAAGGTTCCCATACTGCAAGCCTCCACTGACAAGGTTTGCCAGGGTCTAGGCTTCAGGGTTCAGGGTTTAACGGCTTTCTGGTTTTAGCGCTTCAGTTCTAGGGATTCAGGATCAGGTCTCCTCGTCGTTGTCGGGCGCGACGTGCTTGTAGTTAGAAGCCATGGCTGCGGTTTCGCGCCAGGGCAAGGGGAAATGCTGCTGACGTGGAGGATCAGTGGACTGAGTAAGGCAAAGCATAAGTAGTTTCTACGTTTTCGTTTGTGTACTCGTGTTCTTTCTGTTCTTCCTTCGCTGTTTCTTCCGGGGCGACGTTAGTTCTCGCTGAAACTGCGTCAAGCCGATTTAAGCGTCGCACCCCTAGGACCCAGGGCAAAAAAAGCACAATGAAGCGATAGTCTTACGTATCGTTCTTCTTTATTTTCCGCGTCTTTCTTGTTCCTTTAACTATTTCTGATTGTCTTTATTAATTTATGGCCTTCCGTATTTCTTTATTTCTCTGTTTTTGTTCTTTGGTTATTTCTTCATTGTTTGTTTTGTTTTTGTTTCTAACTCTCTTTGGTTCTTTCCCTTGTGTTTTCTTTGTTCTTACCTTATAGCTTTCTTTATTTACTTAGTTCTCTATTCTTGTTTTCTTTTTTACTTGTAGCATCCTTTATTTGTTTATTTCTCTAGTTCTTGCATGGCTCTCTTTCTTTCTTTCTTTATTGATTTCTTTCTTTTGTTCCTTCCTTCTTATTTACTATATATACCATATTGATTATATATACTATATATACTATATATACTGTATATAGTATATATACTATATATACTATATATATATATATATATATATATATTATATATACTATATGTACTATATATACTATATATAGTATATATACTATATATACTATATACGTACTTTATATACTATATATACTATATATACTATATATATTATATATACTACTTATACTATATATATACTATATATACACACTATATACATTATATATACATATTATATATATAGACTATATATATAATATATATAAAAATACCGTATATGCTATATATACGATATATATACCAGACATATATATATATATATATACTATATACATATATACTTTATATACTATATATATATACTATATATATACTATATATATATATACTATGTATTTATATATATGTACTATATCTACTACATCTACCATACATACTGTATACACCGTTTATACTACACATACTGTATATACTATATATATATATACACACTCCGTCCTTCCTTCCTTCCTTCCTTCCTTCCCGCGGCAGGGCCCCTCTCTCCCTGCCTGCCTGCCTCCTTTACTTCCTTCCTTCCTTTCTTCCCTCCTTCCCTCCTTCTTCCTTCCCTCCTTCCTTCCTTCCTTCCTTCCTTCCTTCCCGCGGCGGGGCCAACAAAAAAAAAAAAAGGGCCAAAAAAAAAAAAAAAAAAAGGGCTAAAAAAAATAGGGTCCCCCGGTGTCTCCGTTGATTTCCATGGCGACATGAGCTTCTAGTCGAACATCGCACAATTTTTCGTAGTTACCAGCGGGTCCTGCACCTAGAACTGGCTAAAGACAAAAAGAACACAGCCTACGTGCCTATTGTCTGGTTCTCAGTAGGGAATGGGGGAATGGATCCCTATGGTAGTCCCCACATAATCCCCAACAATAGTCTCCATAATCCATTCCCTACTAAGCACCAGACGGGCTACGAACCCTAAACCCCTGTAGTATAACCTTTGTAGTAAGCCTTATGATAGTAACCCGTAAAGGTGCCCTATTCCCGGAACGGAAGCCAGCTGCTTTCCAAGCCATCAGTCTTTATCGGAACATACCCTTGGCCACGGACGTCCTGGTGAACTGGGTCGTAGTTTAAGTTTTGGGGCTCTGAAAAGTATCTATGGGTAGGCACCTCTATAGGGACCAGAAAGGGAAATCAAAAAGTCTCCCACATTGCCACCCACCCAGACCCCCGGAAGGATCCAAAAAGTAGATCTAATGGGGGTTCCTATAAAGTACCCTTGGTAGTATAGGGCCCCAGATTAGGGGATCCCTCCCGGGGGTCTGAAGCTTCTGGACTGAACCCGACAACTCTGCGGCCTCCTCTAGCGCTTCGAGGTCGTCGTCGGAGCGGTCATCGACGCTCCTGAAGCACCGATGCTGTTTAGCGCCTAAACATTAGGGTTTAGGGGTTTAGGGGTTAGGGTTTTATTTGTTTTAGGGTTTAGGGGTTTAGGGTTTAGGGGTTTCAGCACTCACAACTAGACCAGCAGGCGAGGATCCGAGAGGGTTTAGTTTAGGGTTTAAGGCTTAGGGGTTTAGGGTTTAGATACTGGGAGAGAAGAGCAGGATTAGGGCTCAGAGTTTAGAGCTTAGCAAACGGATACATTGCTCTGAAACCCAAGTCCTAATTCCGAAAAATTCTTTTTGCGATAGATGTTGT